CATCTACATCTGCAGAACGTGAAGAACCAGTGGCATCTACATCTATAGAACGTGAAGAACCAGTGGCATCCACATCTGCAGAACGTGAAGAACCAGTGGCATCTACATCTGCAGAACGTGAAGAACCAGTGTCATCTACATCTGCAGAATGTGAAGAACCAGTGGCATCCACATCTGCAGAACGTCAAGAACCAGTGGCATCTACATCTGGAGAACGTGAAGAACCAGTGGCATCTACATCTGAAGAAAGTAAAGAACCAGTGGCATCTACATCTGCAGAAAGTGAAGAACCAGTGGCATCTACATCTGCAGAACGTGAAGAACCAGTGGCATCTGCATCTACAGAACGTGAAGAACCAGTGGCATCTACATTTGCAGAACGTGAAGAAACAGTGGCATCTACATCTATAGAATGTGAAGAACCAGTGGCATCTACATCTGCAGAACGTGAAGAACCAGTGGCATCTACATCTATAGAACGTGAAGAACCAGTGGCATCTACATCTACAGAACGTGAAGAACCAGTGGCATCTACATCTACAGAACGTGAAGAACCAGTGGCATCTACATCTGCAGAACGTGAAGAACCAGTGGCATCTACATCTGCAGAACGTAAAGAACCAGTGTCATCTACATCTGCAGAACGTGAAGAACCAGTGGCATCCACATCTGCAGAACGTGAAGAACCAGTGGCATCTACATCTATAGAACGTGAAGAACCAGTGGCATCTACATCTGCAGAACGTGACGAACCAGTGGCATCTAGATCTATAGAACATGAAGAACCAGTGGCATCTACATCTGCAGAACGTGAAGAACCAGTGGCATCTACATCTATAGAACGTGAAGAACCAGTGGCATCCACATCTGCAGAACGTGAAGAACCAGTGGCATCTACATCTGCAGAACGTGAAGAACCAGTGGCATCCACATCTGCAGAACGTGAAGAACCAGTGGCATCTACATCTATAGAACGTGAAGAACCAGTGGCATCTACATCTGCAGAACGTGACGAACCAGTGGCATCTACATCTATAGAACGTGAAGAACCAGTGTCATCTACATCTGCAGAACGTGAAGAACCAGTGGCATCTACATCTATAGAATGTGAAGAACCAGTGTCATCTACATCTGCAGAACGTGAAGAACCAGTGGCATCTACATCTATAGAACGTGAAGAACCAGTGTCATCTACATCTGCAGAACGTGAAGAACCAGTGGCATCTACATCTATAGAACGTGAAGAACCAGTGTCATCTACATCTGCAGAACGTGAAGAACCAGTGGCATCTACATATATAGAACGTGAAGAACCAGTGGCATCTACATCTACAGAACGTGAAGAACCAGTGGCATCTACATCTGCAGAACGTGAAGAACCAGTGGCATCTACATCTGCAGAACGTGAAGAACCAGTGGCATCCACATCTGCAGAACGTCAAGAACCAGTGGCATCTACATCTGCAGAACGTGAAGAACCAGTGGCATCTACATCTGAAGAAAGTAAAGAACCAGTGGCATCTACATCTGCAGAAAGTGAAGAACCAGTGGCATCTACATCTATAGAACGTGAAGAACCAGTGGCATCTACATCTACAGAACGTGAAGAACCAGTGGCATCTACATCTGCAGAACGTGAAGAAACAGTGGCATCTACATCTATAGAATGTGAAGAACCAGTGGCATCTACATCTGCAGAACGTGAAGAACCAGTGGCATCTACATCTATAGAACGTGAAGAACCAGTGGCATCTACATCTACAGAACGTGAAGAACCAGTGGCATCTACAGAACGTGAAGAAACAGTGGCATCTACATCTGCAGAACGTGAAGAACCAGTGGCATCTACATCTGCAGAACGTAAAGAACCAGTGTCATCTACATCTGCAGAACGTGAAGAACCAGTGGCATCCAAATCTGCAGAACGTGAAGAACCAGTGGCATCTACATCTATAGAACGTGAAGAACCAGTGGCATCTACATCTGCAGAACGTGACGAACCAGTGGCATCTACATCTATAGAACGTGAAGAACCAGTGGCATCTACATCTGCAGAACGTGAAGAACCAGTGGCATCTACATCTATAGAACGTGAAGAACCAGTGGCATCCACATCTGCAGAACGTGAAGAACCAGTGGCATCTACATCTGCAGAACGTGAAGAACCAGTGTCATCTACATCTGCAGAATGTGAAGAACCAGTGGCATCCACATCTGCAGAACGTCAAGAACCAGTGGCATCTACATCTGGAGAACGTGAAGAACCAGTGGCATCTACATCTGAAGAAAGTAAAGAACCAGTGGCATCTACATCTGCAGAAAGTGAAGAACCAGTGGCATCTACATCTATAGAACGTGAAGAACCAGTGGCATCTGCATCTACAGAACGTGAAGAACCAGTGGCATCTACATTTGCAGAACGTGAAGAAACAGTGGCATCTACATCTATAGAATGTGAAGAACCAGTGGCATCTACATCTGCAGAACGTGAAGAACCAGTGGCATCTACATCTATAGAACGTGAAGAACCAGTGGCATCTACATCTACAGAACGTGAAGAACCAGTGGCATCTACATCTACAGAACGTGAAGAACCAGTGGCATCTACATCTGCAGAACGTGAAGAACCAGTGGCATCTACATCTGCAGAACGTAAAGAACCAGTGTCATCTACATCTGCAGAACATGAAGAACCAGTGGCATCCACATCTGCAGAACGTGAAGAACCAGTGGCATCTACATCTATAGAACGTGAAGAACCAGTGGCATCTACATCTGCAGAACGTGACGAACCAGTGGCATCTACATCTATAGAACGTGAAGAACCAGTGGCATCTACATCTGCAGAACGTGAAGAACCAGTGGCATCTACATCTATAGAACGTGAAGAACCAGTGGCATCCACATCTGCAGAACGTGAAGAACCAGTGGCATCTACATCTGCAGAACGTGAAGAACCAGTGGCATCCACATCTGCAGAACGTGAAGAACCAGTGGCATCTACATCTATAGAACGTGAATAACCAGTGGCATCTACATCTGCAGAACGTGACGAACCAGTGGCATCTACATCTATAGAACGTGAAGAACCAGTGTCATCTACATCTGCAGAACGTGAAGAACCAGTGTCATCTACATCTATAGAACGTGAAGAACCAGTGTCATCTACATCTGCAGAACGTGAAGAACCAGTGGCATCTACATCTATAGAACGTGAAGAACCAGTGGCATCCACATCTGCTGAACGTGAAGAACCAGTGGCATCTACATCTGCAGAATGTAAGTACAGGAGGTCGATGTTTACACGGAGCGTGTTTGCTCGTCTCCCCAGGCTGACAATGATTAACTCTGTCACTCGGGAAAGGGGACAACTGTCGGGAGAGTTGACTGGCCAGAAGCTATCCACCACCACCACCACACGTAGAGCTATCCACCACATCCACACGTAGAGAAGTCGATCACCACCACCGCCACCACCTGAGTAGAGAGTGGGGAGTGTTGGTGGTGAGTTTCTGTGAGTAGAGAGTGGGGAGTGTTGGTGGTGAGTCTCTGTGAGTAGAGAGTTTGGAGTGTTGGTGGTGAGTCTCTGTGAGTAGAGAGTTGGGGAGTGTTGGTGGTGAGTCTCTGTGAGTAGAGAGTTGGGGGTGTTGGTGGTGAGTCTCTGTGAGTAGAGAGTTGGGGGTGTTGGTGGTGAGTCTCTGTGAGTAGAGAGTTGGGGAGTGTTGGTGGTGAGTCTCTGTGAGTAGAGAGTGGAAGTGTTGGTGGTGAGTCTCTGAGTAGAGTGGGAGTGTTGGTGGTGAGTCTCTGTGAGTAGAGAGTGGGGAGTGTTGGTGGTGAGTCTCTCTGAGTAGAGAGTGGGGAGTGTTGGTGGTGAGTCTCTGAGTAGAGTGGGAGTGTTGGTGGTGAGTCTCTGTGAGTAGAGAGTGGGGAGTGTTGGTGGTGAGTCTCTGTGAGTAGAGAGTGGGGAGTGTTGGTGGTGAGTCTCTCTGAGTAGAGAGTGGGAGTGTTGGTGGTGAGTCTCTGTGAGTAGAGAGTGGGGAGTGTTGGTGGTGAGTCTCTCTGAGTAGAGAGTGGGGAGTGTTGGTGGTGAGTCTCTGTGAGTAGAGAGTGGGAGTGTTGGTCGTGAGTCTCTGTGAGTAGAGAGTGGGGAGTGTTGGTGGTGAGTCTCTGAGTAGAGTGTTGGGAGTGTTGGTGGTGAATCTCTGTGAGTAGAGAGTGGGGAGTGTTGGTCGTGAGTCTCTGTGAGTAGAGAGTGGGGAGTGTTGGTGGTGAGTCTCTGAGTAGAGTGTTGGGAGTGTTGGTGGTGAGTCTCTCTGAGTAGAGAGTGGGAGTGTTGGTGGTGAGTCTCTGTGAGTAGAGAGTGGGGAGTGTTGGTGGTTAGTCTCTCTGAGTAGAGAGTTGGGAGTGTTGGTGGTGAGTCTCTGTGAGTAGAGAGTGGGGAGTGTTGGTGGTGAGTCTCTCTGAGTAGAGAGTGGGGAGTGTTGGTGGTGAGTCTCTGTGAGTAGAGTTGGGAGTGTTGGTGGTGAGTCTCTGTGAGTAGAGAGTGGGGAGTGTTGGTGGTGAGTCTCTGTGAGTAGAGTTGGGAGTGTTGGTGGTGAGTCTCTGTGAGTAGAGAGTTGGGAGTGTTGGTGGTGAGTCTCTGTGAGTAGAGAGTTGGGAGTGTTGGTGGTGAGTCTCTCTGAGTAGAGAGTTGGAAGTGTTGGTGGTGAGTCTCTCTGAGTAGAGAGTGGGGAGTGTTGGTGGTGAGTCTCTGTGAGTAGAGTTGGGAGTGTTGGTGGTGAGTCTCTCTGAGTAGAGAGTGGGGAGTGTTGGTGGTGAGTCTCTGTGAGCAGAGAGTGGGGAGTGTTGGTGGTGAGTCTCTGTGAGTAGAGAGTGGGGAGTGTTGGTGGTGAGTCTCTGTGAGTAGAGTTGGGAGTGTTGGTGGTGAGTCTCTGTGAGTAGAGAGTGGGAGTGTTGGTGGTGAGTCTCTCTGAGTAGAGAGTTGGGAGTGTTGGTGGTGAGTCTCTGTGAGTAGAGAGTGGGGAGTGTTGGTGGTGAGTCTCTCTGAGTAGAGAGTTGGGAGTGTTGGTGGTGAGTAGAGACAGCGGCCATGTCTGTTGGGGTGGTGAGTTTTCGCGTGGTGAGTTTCCTTATGCTCCTGTGCTGCTGGGTGGCGCTCACCATCGCAGCCTCGGGTGAGCAGAGCGGCAGCTCCAAACCTCACCTTCACCACACCCTCACCACATCCTCACCCTCACCACACCCTCACCACACCCTCACCACATCCACAACCCTTACCCTCACTTCACCCTCACCACACCCTCACCACACCCTCACCACATCCACAACCCTTACCCTCACCTCACCCTCACCACACCCTCACCCTCACCACACCCTCACCATATCCATAACCCTCAACCACAACCATCACTCTAACCTTCACCCTCACTCTAACCCTGACCCTCACTCTAACCCTGACCCTCACTCTTACCCTAACCCTGACTCTAACCCTGACGCTAACCCTGACTCTGACCCTCACTCTTACCCTGACCCTGACTCTAACCCTGACCCTGACCCTCACTCTAACCCTGACCCTCACTCTAACCCTGTCCCTGACCCTCACTCTAACCCTGACCCTGACCCTCACTCTAACCCTGACCCTGACCCTCACTCTAACCCTGACCCTGACCCTCACTCTAACCCTGACCCTGACTCTCACTCTAACCCTGACCCTCACTCTAACCTTGACCCTCACTCTAACCCTGACCCCGACCCTCACTCTAACCCTGACCCTGACCTTCACTCTAACCCTGACCCTGACCCTCACTCTAACCTTGACTCTGACCCTCACTCTAACCCTGACCCTCACTCTAACCCTATACATACACCATGTGCTATGTGTATGTATACGTACACTGTGTCATGTGTATGTATACGTACACTGTGTCATGTGTATGTATACGTACACTGTGTCATGTGTATGTATACATACACCATGTGCTATGTGTATGTATACATACACACTGTGTCATGTGTATGTATACATACACACTGTGTCATGTGTATGTATACATACACTGTGTCATGTGTATGTATACATACACCATGTGCCATGTGTATGTATACATACACCATGTGCTATGTGTATGTATACATACACTGTGCCATGTGTATGTATACATACACACTGTGTCATGTGTATGTATACATACACCATGTGCTATGTGTATGTATACGTACACTATGCCATGTGTATGTATACATACACTGTGTCATGTGTATGTATACATACACCATGTGTCATGTGTATGTATACATACATCATGTGCCATGTGTATGTATACATACACTGTGCCATGTGTATGTATACATACACCATGTGCTATGTGTATGTATACATACACTGTGTCATGTGTATGTACACATACACCATGTGTCATGTGTATGTATACATACACCATGCGTCATGTGTATGTATACATACACTGTGCCATGTGTATGTATACATACACTGTGCCATGTGTATGTATACATACACCATGTGCCATGTGTATGTATACATACACTGTGTCATGTGTATGTATACACACACCATGTGTCATGTGTATGTATAAATACACCATGCGTCATGTGTATGTATACATACACCATGTGTCATGTGTATGTATACATACACTGTGTCATGTGTATGTATACATACACCATGTGCCATGTGTATGTATACATACACCATGTGTCATGTGTATGTATACATACACTGTGTCATGTGTATGTATACATACACCATGTGCCATGTGTATGTATACATACACTATGTCATGTGTATGTATACATACACCATGTGCCATGTGTATGTATACATACACCATGTGCTATGTGTATGTATACGTACAATGTGTCATGTGTATGTATACATACACTGTGTCATGTGTATGTAGGGGTGCGGCATGTGGAGTGACGTCACCCCCTCGTGGTTATTGGGGAGGGGTGCGGCATGTGGAGTGACGTCACCCGCTCATGATTATTAATGAGGGGGGGGCGGGGCTCACGTGAAGTGACGTCACGCGCGGGGGACACATATTCCTGGCTCATTATTTTAGTAAATGTATCCTTCTGCACGCGGAGGCGGCAAGTGATATGGTCACCTGGAGTTGCGAAAGTATATGCGCCATATATTGTTTTGGACATGCCCCCTATACAGTATATTATTTGGGCCATGCCCCGTATATTGTTTTGGACATGCCCCCTAGATATTGTTGTTTTCGCCATGCCCCGTATATTGTTTTGGCAATGCCCCACAGATGATGATGATGATGGCGATGGCACGTGCGTGCGTGAGTGGGCGGTTGTGGTGGAGCGGTGGTGCAGCGGTTAGCGAGCTAAAGCTGCGCTACCAACAACGGGCACCCGAGTTCGACTCCCGTTCACGGCCAACACCCAGTGACGATTATCTGAACCGGTCATGGGCCTCCCCTAGGTCGACTCAGCCTCAAATGAGTACCTGGTGCGGTGTGTAGTAAACATCGCCACTGGGGAGACAAAGGCGGTCGGGCGTGGTGCTGGCCACCCACCCCCTCGTGTGCCGTGCCGGCCTTCATAGGTGCTCGCTAACAGCACTTGCCCCAACAGTCTGTTACAGGCTACACGGGGGATCTTTAACTTTGTGTGCGTGTGTGCATGTGCGCGTGTGTGCGTGTGTGTGTGTGTGTACACGTGTGTGCGTGTGCGCGTGCGTGTGCGCGTGTGTGTGCGCGTGTGCGTGTGTGCGTGTGCGCATGTGTGTGTGTGTGCGTGTGTGTGTGTACACGTGTGTGCGTGTGTGTGTGCGCGTGTGTGTGTACACGTGTGTGCGTGTGTGTGTGCGCATGTGTGTGTGTGTACGTGTGTGTGTGCGTGTTTGTGTGTCTCTGTCTACTGGGTGTGGTGGTTCTGGCCACCCACCCCCAGACTGTGTGGGCCCACACAGTTTTCCCCGTATTCTTTTACAGGGAAATTGAGTTTTCAGATCCATACTGCGAACGGTCGTTTCAATACGTGGCAAAAACACGTTTTTCTCTCTGTTTGTGTTTCTCCCTTGCGATGGGACTTTGTAGGATGGACGTTGAGCTTTATAAGGGGCACGGGGTGAATAATAAGGTTGTGAATTGGTTTGTAATTAGGTAGGGGCACTGATTAGGAGTTTGACGGGGATGCACCTCCTGGTGTGTGTCACATTGCGGCCTTCATAGGGTGCTGCTACTCGCTGGCAGCGCTTGCCCCGAGCGGTCTGTTAAAATATTCTTTGGTTATTTCGGTAAAGTCACGTAGATAGAAAAATTGCACATTTTTAGCTGTTTTGGCCATGCCCCGTATATTGTTTTGGTCATGCCCCATATATTATTTTGGCCACGCCCCGTATATTATTTTGGCCATGCCCCGTATATTATTTTGGCCATGCCCCGTATATTATTTTGGCCACGCCCCGTATATTATTTTGGCCACGCCCCGTATATTATTTTGGCCATGCCCTGTATATTATTTTGGCCATGCCCCGTATATTGTATTGGCCATGCTCCGTATATTGTTTTGGCCATGCCCTGTATATTATTTTGGCCATGCCCCGTATATTATTTTGGCCATGCCCCGTATATTATTTTGGCCATGCCCCGTATATTATTTTGGCCACGCCCCGTATATTATTTTGGCCATGCCCCGTATATTATTTTGGCCATGCCCCGTATATTATTTTGGCCATGCCCCGTATATTGTATTGGCCATGCTCCGTATATTATTTTGGCCATGCCCCGTATATTATTTTGGCCATGCCCCGTATATTATTTTGGCCATGCCCCGTATATTATTTTGGCCATGCCCCGTATATTGTTTTGGCCATGCCCCGCAGCTGATGATAATGTCGATGGCACGGTCGTGCGAGTGTGGGCGATGGTGGTGGTGGAGTGGTGGTGCAGCGGTTAGCTATTTTATTTTTTTACTAACCTACGTGACTTTACCGAAAGAACCAAAGAGCATGAATTCCTGCGGTGACGAAAGCTTCAAATCAACACTGTGAACGGCTGGGCGTGTGAATCTTTGTCTTTTGGGTGGTGGAGCGGCAGAAGATGGAGACGAAAGTGGAGGAGGTGGCGGTGGCGGTGAAGGAGGTGGACGAAGAGCAGCAGCTGCCACGGAGGAAGAGTGCAGCGACTTCTCCAAGTTGGATTTGGGAGACGCCTTCAGGGGCACTGAGGTGAAGGTTCGCTTCCTGCTCTATCCCGCGGGTCACCGCCACGCTTGTGGCGTCCTCCTCAACGTCAGCGCCGCCGGGAAGCTCCTCTCAGCAGCCACGGTGCCCTCGTCCGGTAGGGGAGACACGGGGACACGGAGACACGGGGACATGGGGACACGGAGACACGGGGACACGGGGACACGGAGACACGGGGACACGGGGACACGGAGACACGGGGACACGGGGACACAGAGACACGGGGACACGGAGACACGGGGACACGGGGACACGGAGACACGGGGACACGGGGACACGGGGACACGGGGACACGGAGACACGGGGACACGGAGACACGGGGACACGGGGACACGGAGACACGGGGACACGGGGACACGGAGACACGGGGACACGGGGACAGAGACACGGGGACACGGGGACACGGAGACACGGGGACACGGGGACAGAGACACGGGGACATGGGGACTGACTCTACGCCGACGCAGTGAGAATGGCCACCCACCAGCTGGTGGTCACGGCAGCAGCGGCGGTAGCGGCTGTTGGCCAAGCGTCGATCATTGACGGAGGTCACCGCATCACGTGGCCCTTTGAGATGCTAGATACACTACACTGTACACTACACTATACACTACACTATAGACTACACTATACAATACAATATACACTACACTATACACTATACTATACACTACATTATACACTACACTATACACTACACTATACACTACATTATACACTACACTACACACTACACTACACACTACACTATACACTACACTATACACTACACTACACTATACGCTACACTACAACACTATACACTACACTATACACTACATTATACACTATACACTACACTACACACTACACTATACACTACACTACACACTACACTATACACTACACTATACACTACACTATACACTACACTATGCAATACACTATACACTACACACTACACTATACACTACACAACACACTACACAACACACTATACACTACACAACACACTACACTATACACTACACTATACACTACACTACTATACACTACACTATACACTACACTACACTACTATACACTACTACTATACACTACACTACACACTACACTATACACTACACTACTATACACTACACTATACACTATACTACACAACACACTACACTATACACTACACTATACACTACACTATACACTACACTATACACTACACTATACACTACACTACTATACACTACACTATACACTACACTATACACTACACTACTATACACTACACTATACACTACACTATACACTACACTACACACTACACTATACGCTACACTACTACACTATACACTACACTATACACTACACTATACACTACACTACTACACTACACACTACACTACACACTACACTATACACTACACTATACACTACAATTTTGGCGAAGGTCGGCGCTCCGCCGCGTCGTCGCGCGGCACTTTCCGATCGCTCCGCTCCTGCGGCCGTCTGGAACGCTCTCTTCCCTTCCGGTTATCAGGAAGCCAGCAGGAGCGATGACACCACTTAAAAAATTAGAGATCATCATCATCTAAAATTTATTATTGTTGTTGTTTAGTTTGTTGTTCTTCCCCCGCCCCATCCACCGCTGCTGTACTGCACTCACATTGAACCCGTACCACTGAACACGTACCACACTCACACTGAACTCGTACCACACTCACACTGAACTCGTACCACACTCACACTGAACACGTACCACACTCACACTGAACACGTACCACACTCACACTGAACACGTACCACACTCACACTGAACATGTACCACACTCACACTGAACACGTACCACACTCACACTGAACACGTACCACTGAACTCGTACCACACTCACACTGAACTCGTACCACACTCACACTGAACACGTACCACACTCACACTGAACACGTACCACACTCACACTGAACACGTACCACACTCACACTGAACACGTACCACACTCACACTGAACACGTACCACACTCACACTGAACACGTACCACTGAACTCCTACCACACTCACACTGAACTCGTACCACACTCACACTGAACACGTACCACACTCACACTGAACACGTACCACACTCACGTACCACACTCACACCGAACACGTACCACACTCACACTGAACACGTACCACACTCACACTGAACACGTACCACACTCACACTGAACACGTACCACACTCACACTGAACACGTACCACACTCACACTGAACACGTACCACTGAACTCCTACCACACTCACACTGAACTCGTACCACACTCACACTGAACACGTACCACACTCACACTGAACACGTACCACACTCACACTGAACACGTACCACACTCACGCTGAACACGTACCACACTCACGCTGAACACGTACCACACTCACACTGAACTCGTACCACACTCACACTGAACACGTACCACACTCACACTGAACCCGTACCACACTCACTCCGAACACGTACCACTGAACACGTACCACACTCACACTGAACACGTACCACACTCACACTGAACACGTACCACACTCACACTGAACACGTACCACTGAACACGTACCACACTCACACTGAACACGTACCACACTCACACTGAACTCTTACCACACTCACTCTGAACTCGTACCACTGAACTCGTACCACACTCTCACTGAACACGTACCACACTCACACTGAACTCGTACCACACTCACTCTGAACTCGTACCACACTCCCACTGAACACGTACCACACTCTCACTGAACTCGTACCACACTCACACTGAACACGTACCACACTCACACTGAACTCGTACCACACTCACACTGAACAGGTACCACACTCACACTGAACCCGTACCACACTCACACGGAACACGTACCAATGAACACGTACCACACTCACACTGAACACGTACCACACTCACACTGAACTCGTACCACACTCACACTGAACACGTACCACATACACTGAACACGTACCACACTCACACTGAACACGTACCACACTCACACTGAACACGTACCACACTCACATTGAACACGTACCACACTCACACTGAACACGTACCACACTCACACTGAACACGTACCACACTCACACTGAACACGTACCACACTCACGCTGAACACGTACCACACTCACACTGAACACGTACCACACTCACACTGAACACGTACCACACTCACGCTGAACACGTACCACACTCACACTGAACTCTTACCACACTCACACTGAACACGTACCACACTCACACTGAACACGTACCAAACTCACACTGAACACGTACCACACTCACACTGAACACGTACCACACTAACCCTGAACTCGTACCACACTCACACTGAACACGTACCACACTCACACTGAACTCGTACCACACTCACACTGAACTTGTACCACACTCACACTGAACTCGTACCACACTCACACTGAACACGTGCCACACTCACACTAAACACGTACCACACTCACACCGAACACGTGCCACACTCACACTGAGCCCGTGCCACACTCACACTGAACACGTGCCACACTCACACTGAACACGTACCACACTCACACTGAACACGTACCACACTCACACTGAACACGTACCACACTCACACTGAACACGTACCACTGAACTCCTACCACACTCACACTGAACTCGTACCACACTCACACTGAACTCGTACCACACTCACACTGAACACGTACCACACTCACACTGAACACGTACCACACTCACACTAAACACGTACCACACTCACACTGAACACGTACCACACTCACACTGAACACGTACCACACTCACACTGAACACGTACCACTGAACTCCTACCACACTCACACTGAACTCGTACCACACTCACACTGAACACGTACCACACTCACACTGAACACGTACCACACTCACACTAAACACGTACCACACTCACACCGAACACGTACCACACTCACACTGAACACGTACCACACTCACACTGAACACGTACCACACTCACACTGAACACGTACCACACTCACACTGAACACGTACCACACTCACACTGAACACGTACCACTGAACTCCTACCACACTCACACTGAACTCGTACCACACTCACACTGAACACGTACCACACTCACACTGAACACGTACCACACTCACACTGAACACGTACCACACTCACACTGAACACGTACCACACTCACGCTGAACACGTACCACACTCACGCTGAACACGTACCACACTCACACTGAACACGTACCACACTCACACTGAACCCGTACCACACTCACTCCGAACACGTACCACTGAACACGTACCACACTCACACTGAACACGTACCACACTCACACTGAACTCGTACCACACTCACACTGAACACGTACCACTGAACACGTACCACACTCACACTGAACACGTACCACACTCACACTGAACTCTTACCACACTCACTCTGAACTCGTACCACTGAACTCGTACCACACTCTCACTGAACACGTACCACACTCACACTGAACTCGTACCACACTCACTCTGAACTCGTACCACACTCCCACTGAACACGTACCACACTCTCACTGAACTCGTACCACACTCACACCGAACACGTGCCACACTCACACTGAGCCCGTGCCACACTCACACTGAACACGTACCACACTAACCCTGAACTCGTACCACACTCACACTGAACACGTACCACACTCACACTGAACTCGTACCACACTCACACTGAACTCGTACCACACTCACACTGAACTCGTACCACACTCACACTGAACACGTGCCACACTCACACTAAACACGTACCACACTCACACCGAACACGTGCCACACTCACACTGAGCCCGTGCCACACTCACACTGAACACGTGCCACACTCACACTGAACACGTACCACACTCACACTGAACACGTACCACACTCACACTGAACATGTACCACACTCACACTGAACACGTACCACTGAACTCCTACCACACTCACACTGAACTCGTACCACACTCACACTGAACACGTACCACACTCACACTGAACACGTACCACACTCACACTAAACACGTACCACACTCACACCGAACACGTACCACACTCACACTGAACACGTACCACACTCACACTGAACACGTACCACACTCACACTGAACACGTACCACACTCACACTGAACACGTACCACACTCACACTGAACACGTACCACTGAACTCCTACCACACTCACACTGAACTCGTACCACACTCACACTGAACACGTACCACACTCACACTGAACACGTACCACACTCACACTGAACACGTACCACACTCACGCTGAACACGTACCACACTCACGCTGAACACGTACCACACTCACACTGAACACGTACCACACTCACACTGAACCCGTACCACACTCACTCCGAACACGTACCACTGAACACGTACCACACTCACACTGAACACGTACCACACTCACACTGAACACGTACCACACTCACACTGAACACGTACCACTGAACACGTACCACACTCACACTGAACACGTACCACACTCACACTGAACTCTTACCACACTCACTCTGAACTCGTACCACTGAACTCGTACCACACTCTGACTGAACACGTACCACACTCACACTGAACTCGTACCACACTAACTCTGAACTCGTACCACACTCCCACTGAACACGTACCACACTCTCACTGAACTCGTACCACACTCACACTGAACACGTACCACACTCACACTGAACTCGTACCACACTCACACTGAACAGGTACCACACTCACACTGAACCCGTACCACACTCACACTGAACACGTACCACTGAACACGTACCACACTCACACTGAACACGTACCACACTCACACTGAACTCGTACCACACTCACACTGAACACGTACCACATACACTGAACACGTACCACACTCACACTGAACACGTACCACACTCACACTGAACACGTACCACACTCACGCTGAACACGTACCACACTCACACTGAACACGTACCACACTCACACCGAACACGTACCACACTCACGCTGAACACGTACCACACTGAACTCTTACCACACTCACACTGAACACGTACCACACTCACACTGAACACGTACCAAACTCACACTGAACACGTACCACACTCACACTGAACACGTACCACACTAACCCTGAACTCGTACCACACTCACACTGAACACGTACCACACTCACACTGAACTCGTACCACACTCACACTGAACTCGTACCACACTCACACTGAACTCGTACCACACTCACACTGAACACGTGCCACACTCACACTAAACACGTACCACACTCACACCGAACACGTGCCACACTCACACTGAGCCCGTGCCACACTCACACTGAACACGTGCCACACTCACACTGAACACGTACCACACTCACACTGAACTCGTACCACACTCACACTAAACACGTACCACACTCACACCGAACACGTACCACACTCACACTGAACACGTACCACACTCACACTGAACACGTGCCACACTCACACTGAACACGTACCACACTCACACTGAACTCGTACCACACTCACACTGAACACGTACCACACTCACACCGAACACGTGCCACACTCACACTGAGCCCGTGCCACACTCACACTGAACACGTGCCACACTCACACTGAACACGTGCCACACTCACACTGAACACGTGCCACACTCACACTGAACACGTACCACACTCTCACTGAACACGTGCCACATTCACACTGAACACGTGCCACACTCACACTGAACACGTACCACACTCACACTGAACACGTACCACACTCACACTAAACTGGTGATGCAGTAGGTGGAGTGCAGGAAAGGCGAGTGACTTTCATCGTCCACGGATTCCGCATCTCCGGATCTAAGCCGGTGTGGCTCGACAGCATGGTGGCAACCCTGCATGCGGTGCGCCACCACCACCACCACCAGCACCACCACCACCACCAGCACCAGCAGCACCACCAGTACCACCACCACCAGCACCACCACCACCACCAGCACCACCAGCACCACCACCACCAGCACCACCACCACCAGCACCACCACCAGCACCACCACCACCAGCACCACCACCACCAGCACCACCAGCAGCACCAGCACCACCACCAGCACCACCACCAGCACCACCACCACCAGCACCACCAGCAGCACCAGCACCAGCACCAGCACCACTGGCACCACCACCACCAGCACCACCACCACCAGCACCACCACCACCAGCACCACCACCAGCACCACCAGCACCACCACCACCAGCACCACCACCACCAGCACCACCACCAGCACCACCACCAGCACCAGCACTGGCACCACTACCACCACTCTCACTACCACTTTCACGAACACTTTCACCACCACCACCACCAGCACCACCAGTAGCACCACCACCACCACCAGCACCACCACCAGCAGCACCACCACTAGCACCACCACCAGCACCACCACCAGCACCAGCACCACCACCAGCAGCACCACCACCACCACCAGCACCACCACTGGCACCACTACCACCACCACCACCACCAGCACCACCACCAGCACCACCACCACGACCCACACTACGACCACCACCACCACCACGACCATCATCATCATTATCACCACCACCGCCAACACCACAACCATTGATGATGCTTGTGGTGTTGGTGGTGATGAAGGTGGTGGTGGTGATGTCCGATGATAATGATGATGTTGTGGACGATGACGATGCGGATGACGACAATGATGATGACGACGTGCATGATGATGACGATGTGGATGATGACGATGATGACGATGATGACGTTGTGGATGAAGATGACGTTGTGGATGATGACGTTGTGGATGATGACGATGATGACGTTGTGGATGATGACGTTGTGGATGATGACGTTGTGGACGATGACGTTGTGGACGATGATGATGTGGATGACGACGACGATGTGGATGACGACATGCATGATGTTGCCGATGATGACGACGTTGTGGATGATGACGAAGTTGTGGATGATGACGATGATGACGTGGATGATGATGATGATGACGATGATGATGTGGATGACGGCGACGATGTGGATGACGACATGCATGACGTTGCCGATGATGACGACGCTGTGGATGATGACGACGTTGTGGATGATGACGATGATGACGTGGATGATGATGATGATGATGATGACGATGACGACGTGAATGACGACGATGTGGATGACGACTTGCATGACGTTGCCCATGATGACGACGTTGTGGGTGATGACGACGTTGTGGATGATGACGATGATGACGTGGATGATGATGACGATGATGACGTGAATGACGACGATGATGTGGATGACGACATGCAT